ACGTCTGGAAGAAAAGCATAAAATCGCCCCCCAGTAGGGCGCCCGCCCAGCGCCTGCAGGCGGCTCCCCGCGTGGCAGATGGCCCCGTGGTGTGTGTCGCCAGCCCGCTCCCCGCTTGCCAGACCGATCCGTCCGCACCCTCCATCCTCCCTCTTTCTGTTGGCGCCTCCGGACGCGGCTGATGCCCCAATGTCCATGCGGCTTCAGTTCCTGCTCATCGCTTCCCAATCGTAGGCCGGCTGACGGGTTCTTTATGTTGCTTTCGGATAAGATCCTCCCCGCCCGCCCCAATCAGCGACGATTCTGGCTGCTTTGGTTAAAGGACAACTGAATCTAAATTTTAATTAAGGGTTAGCTGAACGCTCGTCCCCCACGCCTTTGACAACATGCTTGTCCCAAATGAGCGCGGGGACTGGCTGTGGCCACCGATAGGATCGAAGGGTTTCTTCTTGGGGTGGTTTGTGGATTTTTGTTTGGTTGTTTTATGCCTTCATCCGTCATCGGAAAAGGGAAACGAACAGAGGGACCCACTGGTCATATGGTTCCAAAGGTGTTTAATTCCCCTGCACCCGGTTTTCAGAATGAATTTCCCATCATCAGCTCTAGACACGCCCCCCCACCCCGCCTTGTCCTCCAGGTGTGTGAGTGGTTGTCAGGAGCGTCACTCATCCCCAGGTTGGTCCCTTTTCCCAGCATTTGCTCCTGTCACGCCCGACTTGCCAGTGAACACGCAGGGGAGAGCGCAGGTGGGCCAGGTGCAGTGTGCGATCTGTCCACCAGGGGGCTCTGCCCCACGCCCCACACTTCACGGGACCCACCTGTGTCCCGCCCAGGCCAACCCGTCTCATCCCTGCTCCTTCCTTGGCCCCCGGAACTTCCCCACTCGGGTCACTTCCCCGGGGGCTGGAGGCTCTGCCCGGACCCTCGGACGCAGAGCTAACCCGGGGTGTGTGTCCGGGGCGCATATCCAGGCAGGGCAGCCCAGGGTGACCCCATCTTCAGAGCAGAACCAGGACGGTGCCGTGAGGTTTCTGTAGCCGCAGGGACAGCTTCCTCCCGGCGGGACGCGTGGCCGTGTGGCGTTGTCCCCCGTTTGTGATCCCTGGAGGCGGCCCTAACGGTCAGGGCTGTACCTGGTCGAAGGGGCCGCAGGGCGATGAGTCCAGTGAGTCAGTCGTATTGAAGCCGTTCTCACCTTGGGGCAAAACAGCAGCCTAGGCACCCGGCCGGCCTGGCTCAGCACATATCTTATTTTGAAGTAAAAAAAACAAAACGGGAACAAATACAGTATTTGTATTTGCATGTGGCCCGCGGGCCGTAGTTTGAGGACCCCTGCTCTAAAGTGCTAACAGAGGGGCTGGCCGGCATGGCTCAGTGGATAGAGCGTCGGTCTGCGGACGGAAGGGTCCTGGGTTCGATTCCGCGGTCAGGGCATAGGCCCGGGCTGCGGGCTCCGTCCCCAGTGGGGGGCGCGCAGGGGGCAGCCGGTCCATGACCCTCTCTCTCCATTGATATTTCCCTCTCTCTCTCCCCTCCTCTCTGGAATCAATAAAGACACATTAAAACACATTTATGTATCTGGCTTCTGCAGCTGGAGCAGGAGCAGCAACACAAAGGTGTCCCCTCCCCCCGGAATTCTTTCCATCCCCCTCCCCGGCCCCCAGTGTCGAAAAGCAACTCCGCTGTGGTAGTCGGGGTGCCTGGGGTGAGCGGCTAGGCCCCGGTCATTCAGCTAACCTTTCAGTTAAAAGCTACGTTTAGTTGCCTTTACAGCTTCTGCTTCCGCGCGGGGTTGGTTTGGCTGACTCCATTCTCGCATCTCCGGCCGGCGGGACTCACGACTCTGCTGTTCTGTCTTCAGATTTTAGGAAACCCGGCGTCTGCTGGACGGGGACAGGGGGGTTTCGCACCGGCCCCGGCCAGCGGCCCCAGCCATCGGTGAGTGGGCTCTTTGTCCTTCCAACCACAGGGTGCCTGGGCGGTTTGGTTCCCGGTCGGGACACAGGCCCAGGTTGGGGGCTCGATCCCCAGTGGGGGACGTGCAGGAGGCAGCCCGTCCATGATTCTCTCTCATCATGGATGCTTCCCTCCCATCCCTTCCTCTCTCTGAAGTCAAAAAAATATATATTTAAAAACAATAACAAAAATTAAAAATGACCGGGAATAGCATCTTCATCCAGACACAAAGAACGCTCAGTGGTGGCAAAGAGAAGGCAGAACCAGCACAAGACAAACAAGACCCGTCCGTAAGGATTCTCACGCAGGAAGGTCCCGTTTCATTTTCCGAAGACAAAAGGGAACCGTGCTCAGCGCCAGCGAACCGGGGGACGCGCTGTTTAGATCACTGGGAAGTGAGAGCACATAGGAGCGCCTGTCGATCATCGTGAACAAACCCCAAAACAACACCAAACCCCCAAAATCCGTGTAAGAGACGGACGAGGCCGCTGTTCAGGGTTTGCTCCCTCCCAGACAGAAGGTCCCTGAACGTCCGGCTGACCTGGTGCCCTAAAAAGATCGCTAATTAATGAATAAATAAATTAACGATAATATATTTTTATTGATCCCAGAGAGGAAGGGAGAGAGAGAAACATCAATGATGAGAGATCGGCTGCCTCCTGCGCGCCCCCCGCCGGGGACGGAGCCCGAAACCCAGGCATGTGCTCTGACCGGAATCGAACCTGGGACCCTTCAGTCTACAGGCTGACGCTCTATCCACTGAGCCAAACTGACTCGGGTGGGAACCCTGGTTTTCATCTTATCACATGATTTCCCAGCAGCTAGATGTTGTCATGTGACCATGTTCTGACCAATAGGATGTAAACAGAAAGCTCTCCTGAGACTTCTGGGAATTGTTCGTCAAAGGAGGGGTGCCGCTCTCCATCTCTTCCTGCCTCTATCCCCCCCGCCCCGTCATCCGCGCCATCGCCCCGGCCATCAGGGAGCGGCCCGGAGGGGGCGGAGTGAGCCCATGGGCAGGGGTGAGGGCGGGAAAGTGG